CTATTCTAATTGGTATAACATAAACAGAAAGTAGTTTAATAAAATTTTGAATGTAAGACACTAAAACCTTGTGTCATGCTTAGTAAAGGGTACCCCTGCCGAAAAAGTTAAGTGTGTCGCGCCGCGTGGTCCTATTTTGTGGGGTTGCCTCGCTGGGCTTCATGGTTAGTGTCGGCCCTTCTATCGACTCTAGGATGTGCAACACCCTCTTCTGTAGTGGTATCTACACCAGCAGTAGCCATATCTACTTATTTCTAACTTACACTACTTATAGTACTTCGGCTGACTTTCTTACTTTTCAGGCTTTCTTTACTCTAACCAACCTGTGGTTAGCTACTCCAAAAATCCTCGAGACTGCTCCAGTTGTAAAGAGTAGCGCCCTTGTGGGCTTAATTGTTGTAGTTTTAATTAAAACTATTTGTTACACCAAATTTATTTGTTGGAGGATTTGCCGTGATGAGTGGAGCCACAATCGCTAACTCAGGTAATTTACAGTTAGAACAAAGAAACAGAGCCCAAGACCAATAGTGGCCTGAATAATCAAGGGAAGTCTAAGAAATTTCCTTTCAGAGACATAAAAAGGAGTATGATGATTAGTGACCATTTGTTCAGTCTTATCAATCCTTTTGTTTTTCCTCCTGTACAATAGCCACTGACGAAGGTACTCATCCAACTGACTAGTTCTAGTATCGAAGGGCTTTTTGGGTAGTGACTTGTTGGAGACAAAAGATACTACTGAAATGCTATTCTTACACACACCTCTAATTTAGATTCCAAAATGGCGAAATTAAGAGTACTGTTTAAAAATTATAAAACATCTACACTTCACGTGATTGTTATCAATTAACTTGCTATGTAGGTTGAATTAATTAGAAATGATTGATATGATCTCCCCGATTGATTTGATTTTGACAACAGTATATCAAAGCACAGATTATAAATACCTTAATCTTAAGTGAATGCTTAAAAAGATTTAGATTCTGCTTACCACATACTCTCTAATTTTAATTATCGTTGTGTTTTGGGCTGCACTTATCAAGCGCCTTTATTATTTTCTAAACTATTTAAAACATTTTTGTACTTTATTACAATTAGTTATATTTGTCTAATATACTATTATCATTGAAAATTACTTGTCTAGTGTACCACAATCCTTGGCTTATATCAATTTTTAAAGGCATCGGTTTAGTATTAATGGTAGCTGTCTAGTCTATTACAGGTATTATATACACGATGTTAGAAAAACAGGTAGGTTCCAAAAGTCTCGAGAGAAATGAATAAAAACACTATAACTCGAGCGCTTTCGAAAGGTGGACCTTTCTTCTTCATGGGCAAACAGGTATTATATATATATATATATATATATATATATATATATATCCATTCAGTTTAGTATAACTACTCAAAATAGTGTGCGTAGTTGATGAAAATAATTGTTAATCAGTTGTTCACAAACTTAAATTTCTGAAAAATCATACTGGTTTATTTTAATCAGAAGTGGACAAGACGAGGACGAACTTTAGTACACAAAAAAGTAGACCTTTGCCTTGAAGCCTACGACCGGCATGACGTTGCGGTTGTAGGCTGCACTCTATCTACTTATTCCCAGCAGTACGACTTTACTGTGGAACTTCAAATTATTACAAATCATTAAAGTTTAATACATATTTCCTAAGTTGTTTAAAGTTTTTATTTATTCTATCACTATTTAAATACTTATCTATATTTTCAATTTTATTTAATATTCAATAGTGATGATAAATGCATCTTACTAAACACATTATATTTAGAACAGATATAGTGTGTATATGTTTTGGAAAACAAATTCAATAAATTGAAAAAAAATTATAATGAAAACTTGTGTTACACGTTGTTGGTGGCAAGCTGTTTCACAAACTACTGAACAGTACAGACTTAATTAGAAGTCAATTGAACTACACCTGTTAAAAGCTATGATGTAATGTTTCAGATTTTTACACATGAAGTGTATTATAATTATCTTTCCTAGACATTTGGCTTATGAATGACAAAAATAAGGCTTACTTAATTTTGTCCACTGTTTTTAAGTCACAAATAATTTAAAACTAATACACAAGCTAGAAATATACCACCTTATTGTGGTAATGATGCATATCTTGAAATTGAAACCCATTTTTATGAATTTTAAATGTTTTGTACATGCATTATATGACAAATTTTTAAATAAAAGTTAATATTTTACCAAATTTTCCACAAAAACGAAATAACAGTTATCACTGAGTGAATTTTAATTTCATAATAAGTACTCACTATGGCAAAATCTTCATTATTATTTTTCAGATGTTTGAGATGATTTTAAAACAAAAAAATCAATAAACTACCAATACTATTTTACAAAATCTTGATGATCAATGCATCATGTGTATGCAACTTAGTTACCATGTGATTACTTCTTGTTTATACTAAAGGAGCTAATACATGTACAACAAACATACCAATAAATCATAAGACTGCTAGATGAGATACTAGTACCTAAAAAAACCATAATATTACAATCATATGAATACATCCTGCACAAAACATTTGAAACAGGAGATTGCATTTTGAGTCACTTATAAAAAAGTTTCAATTTCAACTGCAACTCATCAATAAAGTAGGAGAACTTTAAAGTGCAAGGTCTGTAAAAATAAAAATAAAATAAAAAATAAATAAAAAAGTAAAAATAACTAAGTATTTAAAAAATCAAAAGATACAAACATAAAAAAACAATAGGAAAAACTAAGCAGGAGGTGGAAAGATAATGAGTTAAAGAATTTCAAATAAAGGATATCATAAAAATGATGTTCTTAACTAAATCTGTAATATCCTCTGGTTAATGTAATATTTGATCTCTGGATGGTAAACAACAACCAAGTCCATCTAAAGGACTGTCAACTTCCATGTTTAAATTTACACAATACTATGTTATTCTTCAAATGATCATATCTTTTCCTTTATATAATGAATAAACAAACATGATTTAGTGAATACTTAAATACATCTTGCATAGCAAGATATAAAGATTACCAAACCTTATCCTCTGAGTGACTAAATCATTTATTTCTTAAACAAATGAATGAACTTTAACTGTAATGAAAACAGATGTTTACATTATTTTACAACTTACTAGTATCAGAAATTATCAGGGTTTTCTTTCATTTCTTTAGCAAGTCGTTCATGTATTATATTTAACAGTGCAACTTCGCTTGATGGTAGATTGTAACTAACAAACACTTGTTTTCCTGTTTTCTGACTGAGTTTCAGTGCCAAACTAGATGATAATGTATCTATATGATCTCCCAGTAAAAATGTGGAACTAGGTAGTTTATCATATGGAGTTTTCATAGCTAGAGCTAGATTATGTAGTTTGTTGTCTTGTCCAATCCACAAAAAGAAACTGCCAACCATCTTCAATACAAAGAACTCAACAGTACTTCCAAATACAGTTTCTGAAAATTGATGTGTCCTCAGCGTTGGTAGAATTAAAAGCTGAGCAGAATCTTTACAATTCATTTCGTTGCCAATTCCAAAAAATTGCTATGCAATTTATTTTCTGTTTTTTATAAATCTGAAAATGAAAAAATATTGTAATTATAGCTTATAACACTACCTCACTATAGTGATTTATGGGATGATTATTTTCCTTACGGAGTTTTGCAAATATAAATTAATATGTAGAAAAGAATCAACAAATACTTTAAAAGATATTTCTCAATGTCTTAGAGAAAGATGGATGAAAGTGATTAATTATTTACATATTTGCACCAGAGCACATTTAAACTTGCTGTTAGTTATGCATTCAATCATATCACAAAATCAAGATACCTACAGTATTTCTGGTGTGTAAAATTTACCACATAAACACAGTTATACTACACTTAAGGTTTGTCTTTATATAGTCAAATGAAGAAAAGAGCAGAACTTATAGTTTATTTCTACATCATAAAATACTGTGGTCCTTATATCATATAACCTTAACAATTAGACTATAAATTCTCAAAATTTGGACATCTGTAACATTTCCCAAAATCTACCACTTTTGTGCTTACATTATAAGAATGTATGGCATACCCTCTCAGAATATCAGCTGTTTATGCGTAATATTATTATTAAATATATTAATATTTTTAAACACTATTAAGTAGATGATGTTTATTACATTATTTTGAACTAAAATGGGATATCTAACCTACATAAAAGACAGCGTGTGCCACATTACGCTTGATCTCTTGAAATAGGAGTCATAAGGGCCAAAATAGTTCGGTTACTGTCTTTCCATTATGATTTTATTTGCAAGGGGACTTTGAGGGGTGTGTGGGTGGGGTGAATGTTGGGATCACCTAGTCTAAAACCAAGAGCATAAAATCTATCATGAAAGTAAAACATTTAGTAAAAGTATCAATTCAATTTTAAACTTAAATCATTTCTGAATTAAGCTATTTTCTGTTATATCACCAATGTTTTTAATAAAAAACAAACCTCTTTAATCAACAGAGACTCTAAGTTACGAAATCAACAAATATATTTCCAGTTTTTTTGTCTAAACATTTGATTTTATACGTTCAGTACACAGACTAACAACAATATTAGGTAGTGTTACCAAAAACACACTGGCTTTTCTATATAATATAAGTTGTTAATTTAACTGATTCTTACCAATACTTATTTCATGAATATGCCACAAATTCATTTCATGAATGATCTTAATTTTGATTGGCTCACACAAAAATCTACTGACATCTGACTGCCTCAAATGCACTTTTCTGCCTCTTCATTGGTCAAGTTTGATTTTACAAAATTTATTTATCTCAGTTACATATTAAACGTGAGGTTAAGGTATGCTATTGGGTGGAGGTGGTAGTACTTGCTCCGTCATTTTGAATGGGACATATGCTAATAATTTATCATTTCTTTTCTATATTACTGTTATCACATTTTTCACAACACTCCTGTTTCATTGAAATATATACACCATTACTTTGTTATTACTATTGTCTGTAAACATACTTTGTAGACACCATAAAAGGGCATGCTAATGCATTTTCAGTTAAAAACAATGCAAGTTATCAAGCAGTAAAATATAAGACTGAGGGACTTGTTAAAGCAAGAGATTTAAGTACATAACCAAATGCAAAAAATATAGTTTTGAGATTAACTACTACTCAGTATACCTTTGACTTCCCATGATTTGTAGTTCAACTACAAATCATGTGAAGTCAAAGGTATACATATTACAAACTCTTTGTGATATCCAAAAACTAAATTAATAAACTTCACGTCAAATACTAGTTATTTATACGCTAATTTACTTATAATGAGGTATTGATTATTTTTAGAAAAGTGCTTGAAGATAAAACTTATAACAATAAAAATCAGTACAAACATTTGTAATCCATTCAAAGTTGAATCTTTACACTTTACAACCAATGTAAAAATATCCAATGATGTTCAACATTTAGCTTATACAGGCTACTGTTCTACTAGAATTATAACAGTGGAAGAGCAAGATAAACCCGCTTGGTTCACAACAAATAACATTGCCTTCTATATTTAGTTATATTTAAATATATTTAGTCACTAGGCCTACATATTAACAATAACACACTACTGTGAGTGTGTGTGTGCTAGAACCACATGGTATAGTTATACAACATGAACGTTTTTAGGCCTACATTAACCATTTTATGCAGTTAAAATTTACTAATAGGTTGCAAATATATACATATTATGTATTTTGTTAACTTAAATATACATTCATTATAAGAGTACAAGTAATATTTATTGAAACATCCCATCACCTAACTTATTAGTTGCGTATTCATATTCGATTAAAGCGACCTCTAAAAAAATATATTATTTTTAAATTAAGAAATAAAGAAAGAAGATTCCGGGATTGTCATGATTGAAATAATTTTTAATTTCAACTTTCCGTAATTAGTACAGAATATAGTCTTATTCAGATGTATTCATGTAATATTTTTTTCTAGCATTCATAAAGTTTTTGCATGTAGTTAATCACATCTGTGTTGACTGGATGTCTCAAGGTCGCAAACCTGTGCTAATCCTTTTACACAGGTAATGGCTGGCTATATATTGCAACATTCGTGCTTGAATCTCAAGCTAGTGTATATATGTTTCTCTACACACTTCTTTGGAAGTAGCTTATTCAAACAGGCAATACAGAAACATGAAAACATGGCTTGGGCTAACATTATGTGTTCAACAGTGGTTGAAGTATGTAGACTGTGGACTTGGGATACATGACTTTTGTTATTTCACACAAGTATTTAAGTTATTTCAATAGTTCTGGCTCTCTTACTCATGATCTATTGTGGTCGTTGTTTATTATTTTGCAACAATCAACTCAAATAGCCAGACGATACAAAAGAAGAATCCTGGCCAGTAATTGTTTAATAAAGAATTTTATGTTTAAAACTACACTTATGTTTGATTGTTTTCCTCTATGTTCCGTTTTCAATTTATTATGAACTTAACAGTTCTGAACATGAAATTTATGGTAACTTTTTGGCTTTTCTGTTAGACGTTACTGCACCTCAATACCACAAGACGCATACACATGTTAATTTGTGGTATAAAAGACACACAAAATAAATATCCTGGTCTATGATAACATGGCAATTATATGCTGCATATGTAGATTATGGTTAAAAAGGCAGACACAGGCTATTTATCCTGGTCTGTGGTTATATACAATACGTATTGTTGTGTCAGCCCAGATGACCAATACACAGTGCAGGTGTTGTCCTGAAGGCATAAGAGACACACACTAGACATTTTATTTTGTGGAACACGATATGCACAGACACATTATAAAAGAAACATTACATATGATGACACATGATATCATAGAGTAGTATAATATATACATGTGCTGGCCTGTGGTCAAGTGGGAGAAAAATACAACAGTTGTTGGTTTGTAACCATATGGCAGATGCATACAACTTATGTTGTCTGTATTCGCGTCACAGACGCACACACTACGCTCATGGTTACTTGAGAGGCACGCATGCACGTGTTAGCTTGTTTCCATGTTGATTTATGGTCATATCGTTGGTTCACATTACATGTGTTAATCCTTGGTCATACGATACACATGCTTCATGTGTCACTTTGTGATCATATGACAAATACATATTGCACACAACTACCTAACTCTCATGACAGACACAAACGACATGTGAGGGTCAGTGGCCAAGTGGTTGATACATACTACATGGGTGAGCCAATGGATGTTAGAGACACACACACACAAAGCATACTATCTTGCAAAGGCAATGCTAGACATGACTTTCACTGCACATTTTAGCCTGGGTCATATAGCATAGACATTGTACATGTATTAACCAGTGGTTACTATATGTGGTAGCATGATCACATTGCAAACATATATTATACATGATAATCTATGACCACGTAACAGATACACACTATACAAGGTCGTGCTTTCACATAGAAAACACACACTACACCAGCTACATTGTTGTCTCATAGCAAACATGATACTCACTTTGCAGATATACATTACACATGATGACTCGTGATGATATGGTCTTTTGAAAAATATACACTGCACATGATGGGCTATGATCTCATGGAAGACAAACTACAAACAATATTATGGAATCATCAACTGATACATACTACACCTGTTTTTGTAGGACAAATACTATAGGTTTTCCCTGTGGTCACATGGCAGCATCATAATACACGTATTGGCAAGTAGTTATATGATAGATAACCACTATACATGTTGGATCTGGTTACTTGGGTGTCACACATACTAAACACTTTGGCTTGTGGTTACATGGAAGCATCACATTGCATATGTTGGTCTGTGGTAACAAGGCAGACAATACATTACACACGACAGATACTCTCTACAAATTTTGTATTATGGTCACGTGGGAGTCATACATACTAGATATTGACTCATGGTCACGTGGGGCATCATATAGCGCATGTTAATCTGTGGCTACATGGTAGAGTTAAGGTAGAAAAACACTGTATTATGACCCATTATCATTTAGCAGACATATACTACATGCTAAGACATACGCAACTACAAGTTATGACCTGTTGTCATTTGGCAAACACACGCTACATGGGATGGCTTATTGTCACTTGGCAGACATACATTACATGATTTGGCCAATTGTCACTTGGCAGATAAAATGACAGGCACTGTTTGTTATGGTCCATTGTCACAAGCAGACACACGCATACGAATACTACACATTACCAACTGTTGTGGCTTGACAGATGATAGACACAACTACATGCAATAGCCCACTGTCATTTGTCTGACAAAGAACGCACACATGCTACATATTATTATCTGTTGTCACTTGGCAAACACACACTACATGGGATGGCTTATTGTCACTTGGCAGACATACATTACATGTTTTGGCCAATTGTCACTTGGCAGAAACAAAGAACACACATTGACCTGTGATAGCGTGTCTAACACAGAATACATGTGATGGCGTAGGACTATAGCAGAATAAAATTTCAGATTCTCACCTTTGGTCACATGACATGACTGATAGTACACATACTAATACATGGCTTTAGGAAACACACACACCTACTACACCTGTTAACTTGTGATAGCATAGTAGGCATACACACATACTATATATGTTGGCCTGTGGCCACATGTCAGGTGCATACTATTCATGTTGTCCATGGTCTCGTGGCAAATAGATATTAAGCATGTTGGCTTTTGATCACCTGACAGATATATATATCATAGATGTTGTTCCATAGTAACATAACAGACTAAATCACAGACCTTGGCTTTTGTCACATGGAGGTGACATGTGTACAGCCCACAATTGCTTGAAATGACATATCAGATGCAAACTATACATGTTTTCACATCAGTTCATGGCAGACACATATTACAATGAGATGTCTTGTGATGAAATGTCAGAGCAATACACTACATTTATTGGCCATGATCAAAAGACAAAACACACACACTAAATATGGTAGACTCACACATGGTATTTTTAATCACCTGACAGACACATGCTGCAGACCAAATAAATATATATTTATACATTATCTCTCTGTCTCATGGTAGTATTATGATATTTGAGCATATCATGTAATTTTTACCTTCTATAGTAACATGGTAACTAAAAAATGATTCAGTTATTAGATGTTGTACTGTCATAGTAGTAATATGAAGTTATGAGATATCTAACTCCTATCTTGACTAGGCTGTTCTGGGAGGTCCATCAGCAAATCTTTCTGTATGAGAGATGGCTGACATATGGTTCCTGGATAAATAACTTCCTGAAAACTATACATGAGGATTAATACATTTTGGTTTGCTTGTTCTCTTCTTCAGAGGAAATAACCAACTTATACCACATAAATATCTATTTATGATGCATGCTCTATGAAGTTTGCTCCAAGGAGAAAAAAACCTGAGTAGAAATATTTGACACTTGGCTTTGCAAATCTCGACACTCGTTACACCTCTAGAGATGAAGTTGCGGGGACGCACCACTTGGCGATTGGAAACAAAGTAAATATACTTAAATAGTTTGATGTTACTTCTGTTTTCATTTTCACTATGGAGGATGAAGCGGAAAAACAATTGTAAGAGAGAAAAATTCAACACTAACACAAAAAACTAAGTAATTAATTATTATCATTGGATAAAGTCAATGTGCAGCTTTTGGTCTATTTCCAATTACAGACACAGAAACCCTAGTTCATAATTGCTCACAACACAAGTAGATCCCTGTATCAATATCAGATCCTCCAAGGTGATACTGGCCCGCCACAGTCCTTCTCCTCCAATATACTACTTGGAATCCAGGAATGCTGTCGTAAAGACAAATACATGTAGCTAGTGGAAGCACTGGTGTTACAACTTAAAGTCAAGAGCTTCATTATTGTTCTGGAAGATGTGTGATTTTTCTGGAACTCATCTATCCGAGAAGTAGTTTTTGTTGATTCGATTTCTGTCAGCGCTCAAATACATGGGGACTGTTTTTCTACCTTTATCAAGATTTCAGAGACGTTTTGCTGCGTGCACTCGAAGATTCTCCTACATCTGAAAACACAAATCTGCACTTTAAATGTCCACAGTAACCTGAGAAAAGAAAAACATTTGTGATTGAGTGACAGGAACAGGATGACAGAAAAGTATTGTAGTGAACATGACGTAACTGATGTTAATAATGAAATGAAACAGTTATATATAGCATGGCATACAGTTTCGATGTAGTAACAAAAGGAGCAGTTATTTACAGAGGTGATTTGAAAACGTTTCAAGGGCGAAATTGCATTGACCGGCTTCAAAATGATTGGAGTTTACCCTGTCCCAAACGTTTTCCAATTTATATCAGGGTAATTACTTTCTATTTTTGGCGTGACCATGGGGATACATTAAATTCTATATTGCCTGTATTGTAATATTTGCTAGGTTTATACTGTCCACTTGTTTTAAAATAATATATTAAAACAAGTAAAACAAATATTCATTACAGTATTGGTTATCACAACTGTATCCAGAGCTTAAAATAATTGTATTTTTCACTTTACAAATCGTCACTATGAGCTCTTTATCGCTAAACTCACAGCAACAAAATCTAGATCTATCTTTCAAACTAGAACATTCCACACACTACTAAACATTATGATACAATAACACTAAATTTTAACAATTCATTATCACCAATTCATAAATATTGTAGTACACAATTTACGATTCACAACAGTTATGTAAACAAACTTGTGATAAACTATTGCTTCAAAAATAACTAAATTTAACACTCATGCCATAAATGATAACACTCACATTAA